TAATTCTAAGCTGTTTTTCTGTTGACTGGCTTTTGGTTTAGATCTGCACAGCACAGAAGCAATATCAAAGTGCTCTTATGCCACAGTAATTATAGTTGATGGACCCTTTATAGCTCACTGGGGCAGCCATATGTTTCTTCGTACTTGTTTTTCTTTGTGTTTAAGTGGGACTGTGGTGTGCTTCCTTCCCTTTCTTTTTTTTATATCATTTTTTTTTCTATGGTAGGAATTGGGATTGGGGGGGGGGGGGAGTTTTAATCAATGTTGAGTACTTCTTGCTCTTGGAATGTTTATTGATGTTAATGTTGAGCATTATTATGTTACGTGTTAATTAAGCCGTAAGCTTTTTTTCATGTATTTTCTTGTAACCGTTGCATTCACAGACAGTTTGCTTCCTCATCTCAGTGTCTTTTATCTCATCTTTGAGCACGTTTCAATTACAGCTTGTCTTTGATCCCGTGATTTTTTTTCTAAGTTCACATTTTTCTGATGATTGTTATGTATCTACGTTTATTCACCTTGCTTATTATTTTGTTTACAGTTCTTGGAAAGACTGATTCGTTTCTGTGATACAGATTAGTTTAACTAAAGCTTTAAGGAACAAAAGTCGTTTTGATATAGGAATGTATTCAAAAGGAACAATCAAATGCCGTTCTTTCATTTATTAGAAAGTGGCTAGCAAATATCAGTGCATGGCAATTCAAAGATTCTATTTGCTGTAGAAACTGTTGTCGTATGCTGTTATATCTCAGGAAGATATTTTACAGATTACTTGTATCCCCCATCCTTCTGCTGGGATGTATTCTTGTCTGACCAGCATGGGTTAGCTCAGATAATCCGGTTCAAAGCATCTCATCCCGCCCCCTTAATGATCCTAACGCTAAAAAAAAGTTCATCTCGCTCACAACATCACTTGGTTGTTTGCAATCATAACCAAAAAAAATTACCAAACCTCAGCACATTCATCCATCTATAATCACAATATAATGTTTACTGCTTGGGTCATTCATCTCTACTCAGTTTGGTGTTTGTTGTAACCAATTAATAGGTGAAATAGGAGTGGAGTGGTTTGGAAGTTTGTGGCACTGAAAACTTGGATGAAAGAATTGGCTTTTATACTAACAGGTTAAATAAGAGCGAAGTTGATGATGGTAACATTTAGAATTATAAAACTGGTTGCTTACAAAGAAGGAAGTGGGTGGTTGGTGGGTGCTCTGGTGTGGTTTGCTTCTTCTTTCCTATCAAACGTCTGTCGTCCTGATCTCTCCTCCTCCTTCTATTTTGTGTTTGTTACTCTCTTGTAACACCTCTAATCTTCGGCACTTATATGACCCTATTGTGTTGCAAGTGCCGTAAAACTCTTACTAAAACTAAAACAAAGAAGGAATAACCTTTCATATACTAAGAAATAAATTGTGAAAACTGATGCAATAAGCATTTACAGCCTGATCTTTTACCTCGGGAGAAATGTGTTACTAGTTCATTTTGTGGGACTTCTTAGGTAGTTTCCTTTTGAGCCATAGTTAAAGACACAAAAGAGCAGTGGGTGTTTAGAGGGTACCACTGGCAGGTCCTACTTCTTTATATTCCCTCTGTTGCTTCCATCTGTCTGTCTTACTTTTTACCGGCACCAAATTTCCGTTATTGGGTCGATTTGCGTCTCTTTACTAAAACAAATAAACGAAGATAACAGAGCAAGGATTATTGATATTACAATTCATGAATAAGAAAACTTTATTTACTTAAAGTTCTATCTTCCCATATAATGGAGTGGATAAGGAATAGAACTCTGAAGTTGCTTACACATCTCTTATAATGGTTACCCATTATCAGTCTAATGGGAATGAGCTCACTGCTCAGTATGTACCAGCTTGTCATCATATCAGAGACTTTGTAGAGAATTCAGAAATTTTACATGGCAAAAAGAACATGAAGGTTGTGCTATGGGACAGTGTAGAAGGTACCCCACATTGTGACTGGATAGAGTAGAGGAAGATATGACTATTACTAATTTTTAAAGCTAAGGTAAGATAAGATTAAAGTTAAAATTGATAAGATAAGATATTGACCTTCACAAATTCACAAAGAGAAATTTCCTGCAATATTATAAATTGATTGTATCAAACATCTATCATGTTTATCTCCCCTTCTTCTTTACGGTCAAACATCTATCATCCTTATCTCCCCTTCTTCTTTACGGTCAAACATCTATCATCTTTATCTCCCCTTCTTCTTTACGGTCAAACATCTATCATCCTTATCTCCCCTTCTTCTTTTTTATGTTTGTTACTCTCTTGTAACACCTCTAATCTTCTGGCGCTCATATGACCTTATGCAGTTGCGAGTGCCGTAAAACGTCTACTGAAACTAAACTAAACTAATATTATAAATACTGATAGTTGTGTATTGAAGTTAAAAAAAAAAAAAAGCATTTAAAAAAACAAAACAAAAAATGAGTTGTGCCCCTTCCCCACAGGTGTCGGAGATGGAGTCACAGAACCTGCGTGTGAATCTGAACGTGGACCTGCGCACCCCGACACTGCTGCTCCCTCACGACTCTAAGTCCACAGAGCTTCTCCTTGTGCAGCTGGGAGACCTGACGGTGGGGAACTCCTTCCTGCACACAGAGGGCTCGGGGGCCGTGCAGCAGGAGTGGAACCACATCCGGGTCAACCTCAGTCACGTGCAGGTTCAAAGGTCAGTTTTTTTGTACTGTTCAGTATTTTGTACTCTTATATCCTTTTTTCTTTCCTTTCCTTTTTTCCTTCTCTTTATCTTTCTTTCCTTCTTTCTATCTTCTTTTCTTTTGTTTTCCATCTTTCCTTCTTTCCTTCCTTCTTTTCTTCTCTTCTTTCCTTCCTTCTTTCCATCCTTCTTTCCTTCTTTCTTTCCTCCTTTCTTTCCTTCCTTCTTTCCTTCCTGCACACAGAGGGGTCGGGGGCCATGCAGCAGGAGTGGAGCCACATCAGGATTAACATCAGTCGTGTGCAGGTTCAAAGGTCAGTTGGTGTTAGGTTTTTTTTGTACTCTTTTTCTTTAATTATCGCTACCTTCCTTCATACCGATCAAGCTCTTTGTTTTAAGGCTTTTCATACTCTTCTTTGCATTCTTCTGTACTTCATTCCTGCTCTTTAAAGGATCTGGAGCATGCCAGAAAGAATAAAACGACATCCAAAAACATTTTTAAAAACCACTCAATATATTTGCTTTTGTTCATGCTTGTACATCTGTTGTTCTGTCTGTCTGTGTGCAGGGTACGTCTGAATCTTGTGGAAGACACCACAGAGATCCTGCACACGGTCCTCGAACCGCTGGACTTCCGAGCAGACGTGAAGATGGCGATGAAGCCGGTGGTCAACAACGTGGTGCTGGATGTGTCGGGGCATCTGGAGAAGGTCAAGGTGAGATTTTTTATTTTTTGAGAAGTATTTTACGATGCTCGCAACTGCATAAGGTTCATATGAGCACACGGGACACATAAGGCATTTTCAGTGTGGTAGGAATTAATTTTGAAATTCACCCAGGTGGTGGCTGAAGTTTATTCTTATCAATTTTAGAACCGCCAAGGGATCTCTAATGTGTGCAGCTTGCGCGTGGGCCCTCCGGGATTTTTTCACCCTTATCGGAGAAGGCCAGGTGTTAGATCTTACCTACTCTAAGATCAGGGGTGCGTCTGAAAGACAGCAGTAAGAAGGAGCCAGGAGTAGCAGTAGAAAGAGTCAGGAACCCAAAAGATGAGTCTAGGTAGCTGCTCAAATGTCTGCTTGCTTGGTTATCATTTGTGATTGTGTGCTTACAAAACCGAGATAAGTGCAAGCAGATGGAAGGTGTCTCTAATGGGTCCAATTTCTTTTCTTCTTTGCCACTTTTATGACCTAATTGTGTTGCAAGTACCGCAAAACTCTTACTAAAATTTTTTTTAAACAACTGATATACATTGTGTCGTTAAGGTCATAAAACATTACAATTGCAATAATAATTTTACTGTCTGACTGTCCTGTGGGTGATTAGCAGGTGCTCTGGTGTGGTTTGCTCCTTCTTTCCTATCAAACGTCTATTGTCCGTATCTCTCCTCCTTTTTTGTATATAGGTTACTCTCTTGTAACCCCTCTAATCTTTGACACTTATGTGGCCTCTCCTCCTTATCTCTCCTCCTTCTTTATTGTGTATGTTACTCTCTTGTAATCCCTCTAATCTTCGGCTCTTATACGACCTAATTGTGTTGCGAGTGCTGTAACACTTAAAATTTAAAAAAAACAACTGATCTATATTGTGTCTATGAGGTCGTAGAATGTTACAATTGCTGCAATATTTTTAACGTCTGACTGTCCAGAGTCTGCGTTGTGTGTTTTGCAGGTGTACATTCTCCAGAAGGATCTCCAGCTGATCCTGGGTGTGTGGCGCTACAACCTGACGGAAGGGTCGCCTCCCCCTAGCCCTGGTGAGTGCTGGGTGGTCAGAGGGTGCTGCTGCTGGTAAACCGGACCCTTCTTCTTCTCTCTTCCTCTGTTGTTTCTGTCTGCCTTTCCTGCCTTTTCCCCATACTAAATGATGGTCTTTGTGTCGATGTGCTTTCTATTTACTCAGATAAACAAATAAATTGATGATTGTCTAGATTCTGCACTTTTTGACCTATGGCTCTTCCGTCGAATATTTAATTTACTTCAGCCAATCATGTCAAGGGTGTGCTGATGGTTGAGGGAATGCCACTGGTAGGACCTACGTCTGATCTTTCCCTCAGCTCTTCCTGTCTGTCTGACTTGCCTTTTCCGTACTTTAAATGACTGTTATTGTGCCAATGTGCTTCTCCTAACTTAAACCAACAAACTAGCAATTTTTCTTCTTGGTATTGAATATTTTTAAAAGACACTCCTCATGTTTCCTGTTGTCCTGTAGGTAGGGATTTTTCTTCTTCATGATGCTGAATGTTTTTCACTCTTCACATTTTTCGCTCTTCATATTTCACCTTTGTGGGTGGTTGGCGGTGCTCTGGTGTGGTTTGCTCCTTCTTTCTTGTCAAACATCTATCTTCTTTATCTCCCCTCCTTCTTTTTTGTGTTTGTTACTCTCTTGTAACACCTCTAATCTTCGGCACTTATATGACCTTATTGTGTTGCAAGTGCCGTAAAACTCTTACTAAAACTCAACTCCTCATATTTCCTGTCGTCCTGTAGCTTGGGCTTTTTTTTTCTCCATGATACTGAATGTGTTTCACTCTTCATATTTTGCACTCTTCACTTTTCACCTTTGACCTTTAAACCCCCCCCCCCCCCAGGTATCTTTGAGTCCCCGACCCTCCAGAACCTGCAGGCGACGGCCCAAATGACCGCCGCTGTTGACCACGACTCACCGGTCCACTCGGCCGGAGCCGTCTCCTCGGACAGTGCCGCATCGCTGGACCAGAAGAGTATGACCACTATCCAGTTCAAGCTAGACGGGATGTGTATCACGCTGTTCACCGACAGTGGAAAAGAGGTCAGTGGGTTGGACAGTGGAAAAGAGGTCAGTGGGTTGGACAGTGGAAAAGAGGTCAGTGGGTTGTGGTCAATAGTGAGGCATCCCTGTGAAATCGTACGTCTTCAAAGTTATGAAATCGAAAAATACAACATTTTCCCGCCGGTTTCCCTGTTTTTCTTGAATTTTTGTTTTTTGGCTCAACACCTTTAATGTTTATTTATAAACAAATTTTTGTGTAGATTTTACTGAAAATTGTTGATTAAAGGCACAAAAAATATATGTTTACCCCATTCCAAGGACTCTCAAGCTTTTGGCAGTCACTAAACTTTGGCAGCCATTTTCTAGCTAATTTTACCTCTGAAACCAGACGACCCCCCACCCCCCCCCACCTCCTTCAATCACCAATATTTCAACTTCTAGTCAAGATAAATGGTCATTATTTTCATCAAAAACAATAAAAATGAACAAACTTTATGATGATACCAAAAACTCCATATTCCCAAACATTGACCAGCACCTAATTCCACCGTGTCTTGACACAATTAATCATTGCTAGATGTCACGTGATTGGTCAGTGAGTTGTCTGTGTCTTTGCGTGATTCGCTAGTCGTCTTTTGACTGTTTGGTTTCTCGGAATTGGTTCAGTGTTTTGATTGGTTGAATGACATCATCACTTTGCTGTGATTCCTTCATTGTCTTGTGCTTTTCTTCTCTTTTTTTTCTCCATTGCTATTTCTCTGATCTGTGCATGGCAAAGAGTGTGAGCCACTTGTAACTTGTTCGTCCTATATCTGTACTTCCCCTTCCTCTGTGTGTGTGTCTGTGTGTGTGTGTGCGTGCATGCGTGTGTGCGTGCGTGCGTGCGTGCGTGCGTGCGTGCGTGCGTGCGTGCGTGTGTGTGTGTGTGTGTTTTGAAACACCAAACCGATGTGCCGGTGTCTAGACAATATAGATAAATATTTTCCTGTTATTCTTGCCTGTCTGTATTGCTTTTACACCGAGTCAAATGGCCGTTATTGTGTCGATGTGCTTAACTCAAACATATGACAGTGAGTGGTTGGTGGGTGCTCACTCTGGTGTGGTTTTCTCCTTCTTTCCTATCTAACATCTGTAGTCCTTATCTCTCCTCCTTCTTTTTTATGTTTGTTACTCTCTTGTAACACCTCTAATCTTCGGCACTTATATGACCTTATTGTGTTGCAAGTGCCGTAAAACTGTTACTAAAACTAAACTAAAACCCATGTGCCAGTATCAGGACAATAAAGATTAATCTCGTCTTATCTATCATTCCTCCATCTCTGATTTGCTTTTTTTCCCATGCCCAGCTAATTGTGTTGCAAGTGCCGTAAAACTCTTACGAAAACAAAAAGACGTATAAAGTGTGTGACATTTCTCCCCCCCCTTCCAGCTGGCCACACAGTGCAGCCTGTGCTGCCTGGACATGGAGAAGGTTAATGTGTCGGGGATGTCACACAGCGACGGCGACATCCGTGTCAGTATCTCGCTCATGTCGCTCAACGTCACGGACACCAGACCTGACAGTCAGCTGGCGGTCAAGAGGTATGTTCGGGGTTTTTTTTATTGCTTTTTTCCAAGTGTTCAGATATAATTGTGTTGTTTTATTGCAGACATTTTAAAGTTTTGTTCCTCATAAGGGGTCTCACTGCATTCTATGTTTTTTTCTCTCATACCAAGTATGTACAAAAGTTCTGTATTCTCTCCATAATTGTTTCCATAGTTCAATTGAATAATAATCATTGTTTCCCTTATTGTCTTTCCCATTATTTCCCATTTGGTCAAAAACGTTTTTGCTCGTTGTTCTGATTTATTTGGAAAAATTGATACAATATCTTGTCTACAAAATCTTTATAATAATTTAGCAATAGTTTTTCTTAAAGAACCTTGAACAATATATGAACAAGATAACTTTTAAAAATATGTTTGATTTTAATGCAGAAGCTGACCGTTCGCTGTGGGCCTTTTTATTTCAGAATCCTGCACTGCACAGGAAAAGCCGCAGCCTCTGATGATCTCCCCTTGGTGTCTCTCATCTACAAGATAAGCGGCGACGGCAACCAGAAAGGTGATTTTTGTTTTGTCTTTTATTTTGTTGCTGTTCAAAAATGATAAAGAAGGCAGGTGGTTGGAGGGCGTCACTGGTAGGTCCAACTTCTTTACTTTTCATCCGTTGTTTCTGGGTCTCTGTCTGTCTTCCTTTTTCCCATCAATAAATGACCGTTATTGCGTCAATGTGCTTTTCTTTAGGCAAGCAAACAATCAAACAAATGATAACTATGCCTCTACTAGATGCTGTATGGGTTCTTTAGAAGATGGAGCATTATAATACCCATACAAGTTGTCCGGTGATTGAAGTTAGGGTGCCACTGAAAGGTCCATCTTCTGTTCTTTCCCTGTGTCATTTCTGTCTTTTTGTCGTGCTTTCTTCCCCACAGGTAAAAGCCATTATTGGGTGAATGTGCTTCTCTTTACTCCAACAAATATGTCTACCTGTACAGCTTTGTAAGTGTTTTTGGCTGATGTGGCACTAAATTTTAATCAAGTACTTTAGTAAAAAAAAGTTTGCTCTTTGTCGTTTTATCCTAATCAAAAGTTTTTCTCTTTATCATTTTATCCCAAACAAAAATGTTTCTCTTTGTCTTTTTCTTCCTGCTGAAATTTCCTCTTTGTCTTTTTATCCCAATCAAAAGTTTCCTTTTTATCCTTTTATCTCAACCAAAAGTTGTTCTTTTTGTCTTTTTATCTCAACCAAAAGTTTCCACTTTGCTAAAAATGTCCTTATTTTTCATTTTATCCCTTAAAAAATGTCCTTATTTTTCTTTTTATCCCTTTAAAAATGTCCTTATTTTTCATTTTATTCCAGTCAAAAATTTCCTTATTTGTCTTTTTATCCATAATCTACTAGTGTTGATAGGGGCGTTAAACCTATACCATTCCATCATCTTTTTTTCCCAATCGAATGTTTCCTCTTCATCTTTTTATCCCAATCACAAGTTTTTCTCTTCGTTATTTTCTCCCAGCTGACCTGATGGTAGAGAAGGTCCGGCTCAACGTTCACATTCCCTACATGCTCATCCTGCTCGACTTCTTCAACGGCGCCATGGAGACGGTCAACCAGAAGTCCCAGCAGGTGACCTCCCCTTCCACGCCCGGTGGGCGGAGCCTAGCCCTCCCTCACTACCAAGCCCAGCCCATCATTTCGTCTGACGAGCCAGGCTCCTCCCCCGGCCCCGCCCAGTCGACGTTCACCGTATCTGGGAGTCTGAAACAGCCAGAGATTGTTCTGTACGCCGATCCAACGAAGGCGAACAGCCGGGCAGCCATTTTATATGTGAGTGTGAGAGAATTGTTTTTGGAGTTTGTAGAGAAAGAGTCATATCATTATGCGAGAATGCATATGAGGACAGCATCCTATAGCAGGAAAAATGTCACGGAAAAAAAAACTTAACAGAAAGTAACTGTTTCATTCTGTTTTTCAGAATCTAAGGGCCTGTAGCAGGCTGGATTAACTCACTGCAATTTTGTTTTGTGGTTGCCATTTCTGTTCTTTCAGTGACGACTCTTTATGTGTAAAAAAGCACCACCAAAAAAAACACAAAAAAGCCTGACAGTTTTGAACGTTACATGCTTCTGAATTGCTGTAGTTTTAAAAATCAGTATTTAAATTTGTGTATGACTGTTTGTTCTTTCCTTATTGCACCACATACATTTGCACACTTTGACAAAATATAAAATGACTGCTCTTTTCATTGTTAATCACCATTTTGTTTCCCTTTTGAATGTATTTCATTGGAAGGACTTCGTTGATGGTTGATTTTTTTTTTTCTAATACCTTTTGAAAATGCCAATTTTTTTTTTCTAATTTAATCCATGTTCTTCAACAGTCTGACATTGCATTTGAATACAAGACAGACCAGATAAAGCAAACAGTCTGGGCCAAGGTCACGGAACTCAAGGTCGCCACGTGGATGAACATACAGAAAATCTCATCCTCTGGGAACTTAGTGAGTGACCGGGGCTGCCCACTTAGACAATGCTGAAATAGCGAGCTCTCTAGGATGTGTTCAGAGATTGTTACATGCACTGATATTTCTTCTGTTTTTGTTGTGATCAGGTCTAGACTGAATATGGTGGGGAACACTGTACGAGGTAGTTAGGCCTACTTCATCCCAGTCAAATATCTATGAATGGAATAGGATAGCTGTTTTGTAGAAGCAAATGATGTATGTATCAAGCAAGTATAGGAGACGTGCTCACAAAATGAGTTATTTCTCAGACTTCAGCTCTATGGACATAGATGCATGAAATTTGTAAGTTTAGTTTTTACAGTTTATTATATGAAATGATAAAAGACATGTTAAATTTAAAGAAAGCATCAGTTAAAAATAATTTGATATGTTGATCTTCAGCCAACATCTCCATTCATGGTTCGCAAAAACTAACTCATTTTGTCAGCAAGCCTCACATGTGTTAGTGTGTTTATATGCTTGTATGTGTATTACATATTTATATTTATGTCGCAGAAGGTGGTTAAAGCATCTTCAATTTTTTCCATTGGAGGGTCTATAAAGCATATTACCATCTTATCTTAACTCGGTAGTTAGCTCACGATGGTGATTTGGCGCCAAGGCAGGTTTAACTGAAAGTATGAGTCTTCCTCCCCCCCCCCCCTTCTTTGTATGAGTATGTTCTTTGTTTTTTATGCTCAACGAAAATAAATCAAAATGACTGCCACAGGTTCTGCTGCCCTGTGACCTTGAGTTCACTCAGAAGGTCAACCTGGACACCAGCGCGGTTGAGATGTGTGTGGAGATGAGCAAGGTGCAGGTGTTTGTGTCAGCATCGGTGATGCAGCTGTGCTGGGACGTGGTGCAGATGTGGCAGGGGGATGGCAAAGAGGTGAGTGTGTGGGGGGGATGAGAGAGAGAGAGAGAGAGAGAGAGAGAGCGAGCGAGAGAGTGTGTCTGTGTGTGTGTGTGTGTGTGTGTGTGTGTGTGTGTGTGTGTGTGTGTGTGTGTGTGTTTGTGTCAGCGTCAGTGATGCAGCTTTGCTGAGATGTGGTGCAGATGTGGTGCAGATGTGGCAGGGAGATGGAAAGGAGGTGAGTGTGTGTGGGTGTGTATGAGTGTGTATGTGTGTGTGTGTGTGTCTGTGTGTGTGTGTGTGGTGAGAGAGTGAAAGAGTGTGTGTGTGTGTGTGTGTGTGTGTGTGTGTGTGTAGGTGATGAAGCTTTGCTGGGATGTGGTACAGATGTGGCAGGGGGATGGAAAGGAGGTGAGTGTGTGTGTGTATGAGTGGGTATGTGGGGCGTGAGAGAGAGAGAGAGAGAGAGAGAGAGAGAGAGAGAGAGAAAGAAAGAGTGTTTGTCTGTGTGTGTGTTTGTGTCAGCATCGTTGATGCAGCTTGGCTGGGATGTGGTGCAGATGTGGCGGGTGGATGGCAAAGAGGTGAGTGTATGTTTATGTACGTGTGCATGTGTGTTTACCATGCCACAGTAAATTTCTCTTTATGAAAATGGATAAACTGTTAAGCTACATAAGAGCCTTCTTTCAAGCAAGGATGTTTGCTGGACAAACGCAATTTGCAATTTGTTATCATTATCATCAATTTCGTTACATTATTATTATTATCAATATTACTATCACTGTTGTTATTTTGTAATGTTGAACAGAAGATGGTAACTTGATCTTTCCCGAGCTGCTGTTTATTTTATTACAAGCTTTATAATAATAAGCTTTCGGTGCAGAACTATATTATAAGTATTGTAATTGCACACTACCCCCCCCCCCCCCTTTTCACGCCCTCAGCCCAAGCCAAGCACCCCGCGACCTGACCCAGAGGTCGACGTCAAGAGTCTGTGGGGGGTCAGCAAGGTCACCTCGGAGCGCTGGCTCAAGGATGTCCGTAAGTTCACATAATGTTTCATTTGTTGTAAGTTTTAGGCCGAGAAATGTCTTGTCTGTCGGAATATTTGTATAGATTTCTTTCTGTCAGCAAATGATAGGAGGACACCACTGGTTGGTTCATTTTCTTTTCTTTTCCTCTGTTTTTTATGTCTGTCTGTCTTTCTGTCTGTCCGTCCGTCCATCTGTCTGTCTGTCTGTCCATCTGTCCGTCCGTGCGTCTGACTGTCCATCCCTCTGTCCGTCTGTCTGTCCGTCCGTCCGTCCGACCGTCCGTCCCTCTGTCCATCTGTCGGTCTGTCTGTCTGTCTGTCTGTCGGTCCATCCGTCTGTCTGTCCGTCTGTCTGTCTGTCCATCTGTCTGTCTTGCCTACTCCATACAATTATCGTGTTTCTTCTTCCTCAAACAAATAAACAAAATTGGTGCTGTGAATTGCTCATTACCCATGGCTTGCCATAGCCCGTTCTTTAACTCCCTTAGCTCATATACCCACCCTAACCCACCCCCTCACCGCCTTCCAGCGGACCAGGCAAACATCGTCCACCACCTGCGACCGACAAGCGTGCCCAAAGAGAACCTCAAGGTCACTGTCCAGGACATCAACGTGTACTTTGAGATCGAGACCCTGGACCAGCACGTGCCCATTCTGTGTGTACACACGGCCTTGGACGCCAAGCTAGAAGAGTGGTCCAGGAAGGTAGGTTTTTACACTCTTTTTAACACAGTTTAGAACACCCCCGCCCCCCTC